GGAGTTCTCCTTACCTCTCCCCACTTCCTCCGGGGGCCCAGCACATTCCGGTCTCAGATGTGCGGTAGTGTGGATCCCTCCGCTCTAGGTTTTCACTGTCTGGGATTCCATTGTTGGTCTGTGGCTGTTGCTTTTGTTGTTTCTTGTGGGGGAAGAGTTCACGGGGAAGCTCACTCCGCCATGATGCTGACGTCACTCCCCCATAATTGTTTTATTGGTACCTATAAAAAGACCAAATTAAAAAGAAAATATAAAAAAATAATGAGTAGCCTTAAAACCCTGACTCAGGCTACAATTAAGTTGAGAAAATGCAAGAATATGAGTATTGATAAGATTATAAAGTTTGGAATGTTTGAGCTAATTTTATATAAAGAGGTTATATTAACTTTGTCTGAGTGTGTTTTGAAAATTAACATTGTATCTGGCTGGGAATGCTTCCTCTATCTGATATTATAAGACCGCGACCTCTTGAATAAGTCCTAATGGAAGCTATTATTAGAGGTATAAGAGTTGATGAAATTAAGATAAAATTTTGTAGAAAAATTGATATATTTACAGGCTTTATGTGAAGTGATTACATCTCTTTTGCATGATTGTATTACAAATTGTATTGTGGGGATAGACATTGTGTCTAACTAGTGGAAATGTTACCCCAGTATTGATATTGTAAGACAGCATATACATCTACCCTTCAGACCGTGTTAATTAAACATACTAAAGGGAAGTCACCAGGGCTGCTGGAGCCCACACAGTATGAGATAAAAACTAGAGATGAATATCAGGTGCTAATAAAAAAGATAATAAAATACCCGCCCATGGTAAATGGTCTAGGGTTAAATTGTACAATTAGAAAGAGAACCTTTGTTAAACACTTTGTGCAGACTTGAAAGGTGTGGTACATTGTCCTAAAGTTTTAAAACAATGGCTGCGGAGTCTTTGTGTATGTATGTCTATATGTATGTTATATATGTGTGATATTTTACCTCTAGATGGTAAAATTTATGAGAGCTCTGTTTAATTGGCTTAAAGTAAGTGCTTACATAAATTATTGCTAAATGTAATAGAAACCAACCTAAATGTTTCTCAAGTTAAGATGATATAAAATAATCTTTGGTAAACGAAAGCTTAAGTTTGTTGGTTTGATTAAAATAGACATGTCCTCAGACTTATCAACATAGGACATAATGTAAAGATACAGCCTTTACCGCTTCTTGATGGTGGGTTTTGTAACAGAGATAATGTGAGTCAAACTCAGAATTTGTCAGCTGGAATAATAGCTTAAAATAATGGCTGATTTGTCTGATGTCTCATAAATTCTTTATAGGCAATCTAAATAATTATTGGAAACAGGTAAATGAAATAAATATAAAAAAGGTAAAAGTTTCTGGGGAAACCTTTTTTTCCAATCACTGTATTGAGGTCATAATGGTTTACAGCATTGTGTAATTTCAGGTGTACATTATTATTTATCAGTTTCTGTATAGACTGCATTGTTCTCATCACCCTTAGTCTAATTTTTATCTGTCACCATATATATATATATATATGCACCTTTACTCCTTTCGCCCACCCCCCAACCCCATTCCCCTCTGGAAACCACTAAACTGTTCTCTTTATCTGTGTGTTTGTTTATATTCCACATATGAGTGAAGTCATGCAGTGTTTGTATTTCTCTGTCTGCCTTATTTCACTTAACATAATACCCACAAGGTCCATCCATGTTGCTGCAACTGGGACCATTTTGTCTTTTTTTTATGGCTGAGTAGTATTCAATTGTACATACATACCACATCTTCTTTATCCATTCAACAGTTGATGGGCACTTGGGTTGCTACCACGCTTTGGCTATTGTGAATAATGCTGCAATGAACATAGGAGTCCATAAATCTCTTTGAATTGTTGATTTCATGTTCTGTGGATAAATACCTAGTAGTAGGATAGCTGGATCATACTGTATTTCTATTTTTAATTTTTTGAGAAATCTCCATACTGTTTTCCATAGTGGCTGCAACAGTGTGCATTCCCACCAGCAGTGTATGAGGGTTCTCCTTTCTCCACATCCTCTCCAACATTTGTTATTTTTTTCTTGTTAATTATAGCCATTCTGACAGGTGTAAGGTGGTATTTCATTGTCGTTTTGATTTGCATTTCCTTAACCATTAGCGATGTTGAACATCTTTTCTTGTGCCTGTTAGCCATCTGTATATCTTCTTTGGAAAAATGTCTGTTCATTTCCTCTGCCCATTTTTTGATCAGGTTGTTTGTTTTATTGTTGTTGGGTTGTAGGAGATCTTCACATATTTTTAAATTAACCCCTTGTTGGATATGTTATTTGCAAGTATTTTTTCCCAGTTGGTGGGTTGTCTTTTCATTTTGTTCATGGTTTACTCTGCCTTGTGGAAACGTTTTACTCTGATGTAGTCTGGTTTGTTTATTTTTTCTTTTGTTTCTGTTGCCTGAGTAGACACGGCATTTGAAAAGATGATCCTAAGACCGATGTCAAAGAGTGTACTGCCAATGTTTTCTTCTAGGAGTTTTATGGCCAGGTCTTACATTCAAGTCTTTAATCCATTTTGAGTTAAATTTTGTGTATGGTGGAACATAATGATCTACTTTCATTCTTTTGCATGTGGCTGTCCAGTTTTCCCAACACCATTTATTGAAGAAACTTTCCTTTCTCCAATGTATGTTCTTGGCTCCTTTGTTGAAGATTAGCTGTCCATAGGTGTGTGGTTTCATTTCTGGGCTCTCAGTTCTGTTCCACTGATCTGTGTGTCTGTTTTTGTGCCAGTGCCATGCTGTTTTGATTACTATAGCTTTGTAGTATATTCTGAAGTCTGGGACTGTCATGCCTCCAGCTTTGTTCTTTTTTCTCAGGATTTCATTGGCTATTTGGGGTCTTTTGTTGTTCCATATAAATTTTATGATTCTTTCGTCTATTTCTGTGAAGAATTTCATTGGGATTCTGATTGCAATTGCACTGAATCTGTAGGTTGCTTTATGTAGTATGGACATTTTAACTATGTTTATTCTTCTGATTCATGAGCATGGAATATATTTCCATTTCTTTATGTCATCTTTGACTTCTTTCAATAATGTCTTTTAGTTTTCAGTGTATAAGTCTTTTATCTCCTTGGTTAAATTTACTCCTAGATATTTTATTCTTTTTGTGGTAATTTTAAATGGGATTGTATTCCTGACTTCTCTTTCTGCTAGTTCGTTGTTAGTATATAGAAATGCAACTGATTTTTGTAAGTTGATTTTGTATCCTGCAACTTTGGAGTAGTTGTTGATTTTTTATAATAGTTTTCTGGTGGATTCTTTAGGAGTTTCTAGGTATAGAATCATGTCGTTCACAAACAGCAAGAGTTTTACTTCTTTCTTTCCAACTTGGACTCCTTTTATTTCTTTTTCATGCCTAATTGCTCTAGTCAAAACCTCCAGTACATGTTGAATAGGAGTGGTGAAAGTGGGCACCCTTGTCTTGTTCCTGTTTTCAGAGCATCCCACTTTTAGTTTTTCATATTTGAGTATGATGTTGGCTGTGGGTTTGTCATATATGGCTTTTATTATGTTGAGGTGCTTTCCTTCTATACCCGTTTTATTCAGAGTTTTTATCATAAATGGATGCTGGATCTTGTCAAATGCTTTCTCTGCATGTATTGAGATGATCATGTGATTCTTATTCCTCATTTTGTTAATTGATTGATTTGCAGATATTGAACCATCCTTGCACCCCTGGAATAAATCCCACTTGATCATGGTGTATGATCCTTTGAATGTATTGCTGTATTCAGTTCGCCAATATTTTGTTAAGGATTTTTTCATCTATGTTCATCAGTGATATTGGCCTATTATTTTCCTCCTTTGTGTTGTCCTTTTCTGGTTTTTGTATCAGTGTGATTTTGGCCTCATAGAATGAGTTAGGAAGCATTCCATCTTCAATTTTTTGGAATAGTTTGAGCCAGATAGTTATCAAATCTTTGAATGTTTGGTAGAATTATCCAGAGAAGATCTCTCGTTCTGGACTTTTGTTTTTGGGGAGGTTTTCATTACAGTTTCAATCTCTTACCTTCTGATTGGTCTATGCACATTCTCTATTTCTTCTTGATTCTGTTTTGGGAGGTTGTATGAATCTAAGAATTTATCCATTTCTTCTATGTTATCCAGTTTGTTGGCATATAGTTTTTCATAGTTTTCTCTTATAATCCTTTGTATTTCTGTGGTATCCATCATAATTTCTCCTCTTTCACATCTAATTTTATTTATTTGAGCCTTTTCTCTTTTTTGATTAGTGAGTCTGGCTAAGAGTTTGTTAACTTTGTTTATCTTCTCAAAGAACCAGCTGTTAGTTTCATTGATCCTTTCTAGTTTTTTTTGTGTGGTGTCTATTTCACTTATTTCTGCTTTACTTTTTATTATTTCCCTCCTTCTGCTGATATGGGGCTTTGATTTTTCTTTTTCCAACCTGTTAGCTGTATTTTAAGAATATTTATTTGAGATTTTTCTTGCTTGTTGATGTGAGCCTGTATTGCCATGAATTTCCCTCTTAGAACCACTTTTGCTGCATCCCATAAGAGTTGGTATATTGTATTTTCATTTTCATTTGTATCCAGGTATTTTTTTATTTCTCCTTTGATTTATTCATTGACCCAATAGTTGTTCAGTAGTGTCTTGCTTACTCTCTACATATTTTGACTTTCCCAGTTTTTTCCTTATAGCTGATTTCTAGTTTCATAACCTTGTTGTTGGAAAAGATGCTTGAGGTGATTTCAATCTTCTTAAATTTATTGAGGCTTGCCTTGTTTCCCTATGATATATCTTTCAGAATGTTACATGTGCACTTGAGGAGAATGTGTATTCTGCTGTTTTGGGGTGGTATGTTTTATATATATCTATTAAGTCCATCTGGCTGAGGTTTTCATTGAAGTCTACTATTTCCTTGTTGACTGTCTCTCTGGATGATCTATCCATTTTTGTAAGTGGGGTGTTGAGGTCCCCTACTATTATTTTTTTGCTGTTAATTTCCCCGTTTTAGATCTGTTAATGGTTGCTGTATATCCTTGGTGCTCCTGTGTTAGGTGCATATATATTCATAGGTGTTATTTCCTCTTGGTGGAATTTCTGTTTTATCACTATATACTGCCCCACTTTGTCTCTCATTGCCTTTCTTGTCTTGAAATTTGCTTTGTCTGATATAAGTATGGCAACTTCTGCTTTATTTTGTTTACCATTTGCTTGGAGTATAGTCTTCCATCCCTTCAGTCTGAGCCTGTGTTTGTCTTTGACCTGTGTTTCCTGGAGGCAGCATATTGTTGGGTCTTGTTTTTTAATCCATCCAGCCACTCTGTGTCTTTTGATTGGTAAATTCAATCTATTTACATTTAGAGTGAGGCTTATTACTGATATGAGGGCTTATTACTGCCATTTTATCTCCTGTTTTTCTGTTGTTCTATATTTCCATTGTTTCTCTTCTCTTGTATGTCTGACTGCCATTTTAGTTTGCTGGGGTTCTGCGATGGTTTTCTCTTTATTCATGATTTGTGTCTCTGCTGTGATTTTTTTTTTTTTTGTGAGGAGATCAGCCCTGTGCTAACATCTGCCAATCCTCCTCTTTTTTTGCTGAGGAAGTCTGGCCCTGGGATAACATCTATGCCCATCTTCCTCCATTTTATATGGGACGCCACCACAGCATGGCTTGCCAAGCAGTGAGTCAGTGCACGCCCGGGATCCAAACCTGCGAACCCCAGGCCGCCACATCTGCTGTGATTTTTTGTTTAGTGGTTACCATGAGGTTTGTATAAAGATCTCGTAGATGAGATAGTCCTTTTTCTGATAGGCTCTTATCTCCATTAGCCTAACCATGTTCCATCCCTTTCCTCTTCCCTTTCTGAGTTACTGTCGTCACCAATTATTCTGTTTTGTGTCGTGAGTTTTTGACTAAATTGAAGTGTTTATAGTTATTTTTGATGCTCTCCTTCCCTTTATCTTTTATGTTATAATTATGTGTTTACTAACCTGTTCTAATAGAGAGCTGCGATTTTCTCATTTTGTCTGCCTATTTATCTCCTTGCTCAAGGCTCTGTAAACCTTTGCCTTTTTGTGTCAGGTATGAGAGCATCCTTGATCATTTCTTCTAAGAAAGGTCCAGTGGCAATGAATTCCCTCAGTTTTGTTTATCTAGGAAAACTCTTATTTCTCCATCATATCTGAAAGATAGTTTTGCTGGACAGAGTACTCTTGGCTGAAAGTTTTTGTCTTTCAGTATTTTGCATATATCATTCCGTTGTCTCCTATCCTGTAAGGTTTCTGCTGAGAAGTCCACTGAAAGCCTGATAGGTGTTTCTTTGTAGATTATTCTCTTCAGACCTGCTGCCCTTAATAGTTTTTCTTTGTCATGGATGTTTGCCAGTTTTACTATTATATGCCTTGGAGAAGGTCTTTTTTGCATTGATGTAATTAGGAGTTCTATTGGCTTCATGTACTTGTAAGGCCAGTTCCTTCCCCAGATTTGGGGAGTTCTCAGCTATTATTTCTTTGAACAAGCTTTCTGCTCCTTTCTCTCTCTCTTCTCCCTCTGGAATCCCTATAATCCTTATGTTGTATTTCCTAACTGAGTCAGATATTTCTCAAAGAATTATTTCACTTTTTAAGGTCTTAGTTCTCTCTCCTCCTCCACCTGAAGGATTTCTCTATTTCTCTCCTCGAAATCACTAATTCTGTCCTTCTCATTCATTCTGTTCTTCATCTCCAGAATTTCTGTTTGTTTTTTGTTTTTAGTTTCAGTCTCTTTGGTGAAGCATTCCTTCTGCTCGTTAAGTTTAATCCTGAGCTCAGTGAACTGTCTTTCTGAGTTTTCTTGTAACTCGTTGAGTTTCTTTATGACAACTATTTTGAATTCTCTGTCATTTAGATGGTAAATTTCTGTGACTTCAGAGTTGGTTTCTGGAGACTTGTCATTTTCCTTCTGCTCTGAAGTATTACTGTAGTTTTTCATGGTGTTTGATGAACTGATCCTTTGCCAAGGCATTTGTAGTAGTATCAGGTCACAGATTCTACCTGCCATGGGGGAGGGGGACAGGGGAACAGAAGCTGTGTTTTCTGAACCCACCATGACTGCTGACAGTTGTGCCAGTAGGGCTACTCTGCATTTGCCCACTGCCCTCAGCCTAGTGGCTTGTCACACACACATGTGCAGGTGCTCTGGTGCGGGACAGCTGCCTTTGCAGGGGACTGGTTGAGCTGGTGCACTAGGCATGATGGGATGGGCACTTTCTTTTGTGCACATGGCCCACTCTGCACTTGCAGACACTTTACCTAAGCTGCTGCACTTGGTGGAGACCCCTTCAGGAGGGCTGAGCCACACCACTCAGTGTGGAGCATTCCCACAGGTGGGGTTGCTGCTGCATGGTGGGTGCTTCTGCAGGCTGGGCTGTACCTCTGAAAGTGAAAGTATTCATGTGCAGGCCTGCCTGCCCCCCAGCCTCTTCTTACAGTAACACACTGGCTGCTGTCTGAGGACCTGCAACCTAGATCACTGCCACTGGGGAGGGGGCAGGGTCTGTTCACCTCCTTCCACTGTTTCCCAGAGATCTGGTACCCCCACTTTCAGATATATGGCTGTGTTGATCTCTCAGACGTCCAATTGTGCTTTGTAGGGAATCCTCTGTTGGTTAATGAATGTCTGTTTAGTTGTAACTTAGTGGGGGAGACTGAGGAAACAACTCACTCTGCCATGATGCTGATGTCACTCTTTGGGGAAACGTTTTAACAATGATTATATGTTATGATGTATGTACTAAAAACAACTTAAGGTGATGAGTAGCTACTTTAGTGCCACATAAAGTTTTTGTGAGTAATCTAAATATTATTGTTACAAACAAATGATCTAGATGTATGTGAGATAAAAGTTTAAGATAAGCTTCTAGCAATAATTATATTTTATGACATGTATACTTAAAATAGCTTCCAAACTCTCTTTGGTAATTTGAAATTTTGAAGTTTTGCTCAGTTAAACCAAATTATGGAAAGTTCATTGAATATTTAGATCATTTCCAATTAAGGTAAAATATTAGATATTAATTATTAAATATAAATTTATCTACTTTTGTCTTCTTATTACAGAGAAGCTAAAAGATTTTGGGTCTATTAGTAAACATGTACTGTATTTTATTAAATAACTGTACTTTAAAGTAACATGTTTCTAGAAATTATAAAAAGTACTTATATACTTGCCAAGCCACAGAATCCTAATGTAAAAGTTCATAATTTCTTACTTCTTAGTTTTCACTAAAAATTTAGGTCTGTATGGGTAAAAAATTCCAATATGTGATTAAAGATATTAAAAATTAGTTAATAAGGGAAACATCTTTGTATTCAAGTAAAGTAAGATGTATGTTTTCAGTAAAGAATGTATAAAGAGTGGAAATAGTTTTGTTTGTTTTGTTAAGAAAGATAAATTTGTTCTAATGTACTAGGGGAAAAAAGGAAGGCATGGGACAAATTCTAAATGTGAAAAGAAAGATATAGAAGGTTTGTGGAAGATGAACCCTCTGGAAATAATTTTGTGCATGGTCAAGTTGGCTAAGATTGAAATGAATTTAATTAAGTGAATAAGTTTTAATATGAAATGTAAGCTGGTACAAAATTAGAATTTGTTTTCCTCTCTCTTAAAAGGATAATTTTATTAAGCTTTTAGTCTGCTCTTGATAAAGAAATTATAAAAGGTTTTTCTTTACCTTTGAGTAAATCTATGTAAAAGACAAAAGAAATCTATGCTTTTTCAAAATAATTTCCTGTGTTCAAAATGGCTGAAGTCTCTCTATTAAGGTTTTTTTCTCTCTGTCTGCCTTTAACATCTTATATTGTTACTTTGATTAAATGGACAACTAAGCATTGTTTCATAGGGGTTTATGGTATTGTATGGGTAAATGTTATTGATATAAGTGTTTTAAAAATGATATAACATTCCTAAAATTCTAAGCTGTCCTTGATGTCAGTCATAATTCTATCTCATTAATTGTGTTCTTCATCTACAGGATTTATGTTTGGTTTCTTTTTATAGTTTCAATTTCTTTGGTGAAGTATTATTTCTGCTCATTAAGTTTATTGCTGAGCTCATTGAACTGTCTTTCTGAGTTTTCTTGTAACTCACTGAGTTTCTTTATGACAACTATTTTGAATTCTTTTCAGTTAGGTTGTAAATTCCTGTGACTTCAGGGTTGGTTTCTGGAGACTTGTCATTTTCCTTCTGCTCTGAAGTGTTACTGTAGTTTGTCATGGTGTTTGATGAACTGATCATTTGCTGGTGCATTTGTGGTAGCATCGGGTCACAGCTTCCACCTGTCACTGTTGAGGGGAAGCAAGACCTGTGTTTGTGATCCTGCCCCATCTACTAGAAGTTGTGCAAGTACAGCTGCTCTGCATTTGTGTGGGCTGGCCACAGCCATTTGGTTGGTCACTCTCATGAGGGTAGGGTGTCTGTGCTCAGCATGTGCCTTGTGCAGGCACAGGCCAGCACTGTGCTCACTGGTGGTTTGGCTGAGCCACTGTGCCTGGTGGGTGTGGCACCTACATGGGTGCTGAGCTGCAGCCACTTGGTGGGGAGTGTTCCCACTGGTGGGGCTACTGGGGGACAGTGGGCACTCCTGAGGGCCAGGTTACCCCTCCCAAAGTGTTCATGTGTGTGCCAGGTTTCCCCCGCCTCCTCTTACAGTCACCCCAGCCACTGTGCTTGGTGGGCGGGGCTCCTTCATGGGGGCCGAGCCATGGTCACTCAGTGGGGAGCATTCCCATTGGTGGGGCCACTGGGACACAATGGGCACTGCCACAGGCTGGGTTACCCCTCCCAAGGTATTTGTGTGCATGCTGGGCTGCTCTGGCCTCCTCTTACAATCACGTTGGCCACTGTGCTTGGTAGGTGGGGCTCCTTCATGGGAGATGAGCCACATTCACTTGCTGGAGAGTGTTCTCACTCGTGGGGCCACCGTGGCAGAGTAGGCACTCCCGTAGGCTGAGCTACCCCTCTGATTGCATTCACATGTGCAGGCAGGTCTGCCTATGCCTCCTCTTAGAGTCATGCCAGTTGCTTTGTGAGGCTCTGCAACCTGGATTGCTGCTGCTGGGGAGGGGGAAGGTTGTGCTCACCTAGTCCACTGCTTCCCAAGGATCCAGTTCACCCACCTTCATATGTATAGCTGTGTGGGTCTCTCAGGCGTCCTGTTGTACCATGTGGTATCCTGTGTTGGTTAATGAATGTCCATTAAGTTGTAATTTAGAGGAGGAGAGACAAAGGGAACAGCTCACTCCACCATGTTGCTGACATCACTCTGCTGAGTAGCAGTCATAATTCTACTTAGTATTTTAAATTGTTGTACGTCACATAAATAACCAAATTTCTTTGTCAATTGCCAGTTTGAAGTCTCTTGTCATTTACAGATAGTTTTGTTTAAGGTCCTTTTGCAAATATGTTTCATCTTCAGAGAGATTCGTGGAAAGGATTCTGACACTTACTCTAGAATACAGGTTTCTGATAAACTTTCAGATCATAAAACTGAACTGGGTAAGAAATTACAGAACTGTAAAGGAGAAACTGGTGACTTCATCAAACTGCTAACAAAAGATCAAGAGTTAATTACATGGCTCTAAATGAACTGGTGAGAATGATTATAAATTTTATCACTTTTTGTTTGACATATTGCCGATTATTTTAATGTTTTGTTTTTCAGGATTTAAGAAAACGTTTTTCTCTTTTCTCTTAAGCTAACTATGACTTATGGCAATTTTGTAAAATTATACCTTTGTAAGCAGAATTAAAACATTTTTTATCTTTTTATCTCTACCCATTCCATCCAGAATTTGGAAACTCTTAATGAGAGAATTCTTATTTTCTTGGGAATTTAGTTATTTGCATAAACCCAATAAGAATCTATTCTCTTTATGACAGGACACAATTGGAAACATTGGTTATACTACCAAAGTTTTGACTGGAATATCATATATGAAAGAAACATGCAGACTCAGATATGACAAGACAGCTAAGGGAGAAATATTGACTTTATGAAATAAAGCCACTTGGAAATATTAGCCTGGTACCGTGCATACAGGGTTTCCAGCAAACTTACCAAATTAGTAAAGAAAGTCACTTCCCTGGCAGGTGCAAAGAATCTAAAGATATTTTTGGGACCTTGAGAAGAGAGGAATTCACCCAAATCTATAGGTATTGCAGGGGAATCTAATGACAAGTCCTTGGCTTTGCTTTCCTGTGAGAGGCCTTTAAAGTTCAATCTGAGATTCCTTATAAAAAAGTTCCAGCAAAGCAGATTTAAAAGAGCCTATATGATCAATTGCTATTCTTTCTGTACTTATGTAAATAAGTGGGCCAAGTTTATTGAAACTAGACTTATTTTAGAAACCAATGAGTCTTAATTTGGCTATCTTTGGTAAAAATGAGGGTTATTTTAGAAAGAATAACTATGTTTCAGTAGAAACTATAGTATAAATTTGTGGATATTAGATTCTAGTTCTGTTAATTGTCTTTAAGGGTTTTGTTTTCTACCTGTAAACTAGACTGGATCTTGAATTCTTCTAGTCTCCTGAAATATCTGACTACAAATCTCCAAACTAACTTTTTCAATTTTTTCCATCCTTTACACTTGGAATCATTGAGAACTGAAACCACCTTTTTCCCTGAAGCCTTGCAAACTGAAGCTGGACAATTTGATGTAAACTTGAGAGATCACCACGATAGCATGCCTGTTGCTATGTAAGCCACTCAAAATATATCTGAACACCTGATGACATTATCAGAGACATTTCAAACTGCAAAAGATGCTTTGACCCTAACATCTAGAGATCTTTTTGACTGGTTTTCCCCTGGGTTTAGAAACTGGTTCTTAATTTGCGCCAAGCACTAACCTTGTTTTTCTTCTTATTCCTGTAGAAATGCTTCTTAAATACCTGATTGCTTGCTTACACAATATAGACCTAACTTTGGGAGCCCACGTGCATCACTGTCTTCTAAAATGAAATTAATGGGACTGATCTATTATCAGGACTAACAGACGTGTTTGGTGAGCTAGAAAAATCTACCAACTCAGCTTCTGGACTATGAAGCTTCTTAAAGTTTCAAAGGTGTGACTGTGGGGAACCGGTATTGGCTACCTCAAAATGTGTCTATTTGGCTTGATTATTTTTAGGGACAAAAGACTCTGAAAGAAACTTTAACCTCCCCACTAACTGCCTAAAAGAATTTAAGATAGAAGGCCTGCTCCAGGAAGGAGCTTATACCATAAGTGTAGTATAATATAAACTAGGTGTGATAGACAATGAGGAACCTAGCAAGGGCCATTTAATTAAAGTCCTCTCCATCTCCCATTGTCTTTATAAGGCATGGTCAACATTTGTTTACCAAACATTTGTTTTTCCATCCCCATGTGAATTGCCTTCCTCCCCTTTGAAGTCCAAACCACTACCCCCAATATCATTCTTTGTCCTTAGCTGAAGATGATATTTAAGGTGGTGGCTTCCATCATTTTGGAGAGTTACTCAGTTTTCCTGGGTTTCTCCCATGTATACATGTTATTAAACTTTGTTTGATTTTCTCCTGTTATTCTGTATCTTGTCAATTTTATTCTTAGACCAACAAGAAGGACCTAGAGGGTAAAGAAATTGTCTTTCTCCCCTACAGTGGAAATTGAAAGGCTCATGCTAACATTTACATGGAAATTCAAAGGAACACAAGTTGCTGAACATTACTAAAACACTTAAGTTTGGAGGAACTTGCTCTGCTAGATACTAAGATTATTATAAAGCTACATTAATTATGATGCTGCAGCATTAGTGAAAGGATAGATAAACCGACTCATGTACCTGCATAGAGATGTTGGAAAAAGTCTCTTTCAATACAGGGTCATTTAATTTATGACAAAGATAGCACTTTAGTCCAGTGAACAAAGGACAATATTTTGAATAAAGAATGCTAGGAAAACTGGTTATCTATATAAAAAAATGAGAAACTGGCTTTCTAACTCATACCAAATTAAAAAAAAATCAATTTCAATAGGCCTATAGACTTAAATTTGAAAGGCAAAACTATATTCTCCAATAGTACTTCTAAGCTAATTAAAAAGATAACATAAGAAAATATATTTGCATACACCAAGTAGGGAAAGATTTCTAAACAAGATACAAAAAGCACTAATCAGGAAGGAAATATTGATGAATTATACTATGTTAAAAATAAGAATTTCTATTTATCAAAAGACACTTTACAGAGTGTAAAGTCACATCACAGAATGAGAGAAATATTTGTAACATATATATCAAATGAAAGAATAGTATCTTTAATACATAGTGAACAACATAATGAACAATAAAAACAAAAACAACCAAACAAACAAACAGAGCAATCCATTTGAAAATTGTCAAAGCAGTGTATGAAGCACCTCACAAAAAGATATCCATATGGCTAATGAATACATAAACAGATGTTCAATTTCCCAGATATGTGCGGCTCATTCAATATTTGAAGATCAAATAATGTAGGGGCCGGCCTGGTGGTGTAGAGGTTAAGTTCACATGTTCTGCTTTGTTGGCCTGGGATTTGCAGGTTCGGATCTAGGGCGCAGACTGATGCACCGCTTATCAAGCCATGCTGTGGGAGTGTCCCATATAAAGTAGAGGAAGATGGGCATGGATGTTAGCCCAGGGCCAATCTTCCTCAGCAAAAAAGAGAAGGATTGGCAACAGTTGTTAGCTCAGGTCTAATCTTCCTCAAAAACAAAAAAAAGGAACGTGTCACAATAGGCTGAAGAGAAAATACTACACGATCATATCAATAGATGCAGAAAAAGCATTTGAAAAAATCCAATACCCATTCATGATAAAAACTCTCAGCAAACTAGGACTAGAAGGGGACTTCTTCACTTGATAAAATAGAGCTACACAAAACCTAAAAATAGCATCATACTGAATGGTGAGAAATAAGATACTTTCCTGCTCAGATCTGGAATAAGGCAAGGATGTCCTTTCTCACCACTTAATTTCAATATTGTACTGGAAGTTCTAGCTAATGAAATAAGATAAGAAAAGGACATAAAAGTTATACAGGTAGGGAAGGAAGAAATAAAACTGTTTTTGTTTTCAGACATGACTTGATCTTCTATGTAGAAAATCTAAAAGAATTAACAAAAACATTCCTGGAACTAATAAGGAATTATGGCAAAGTTGCAGGATACAAGGTTAATATACAAAAGTCAATCAAATTCCTATATACTAGCAATGAAAAAGTGAAATTGCAAATTTAAAATACAATACCATTTACATTAGCATCCCCCCAAATGAAATACCTGTCTATACTTCAAATACAATACAAGATTTATATGAGAAAAACTACAAAACTCTAATGAAAGAAATCAAAGAAGAACTAAATAAATGGTGAGATGTTCTATGTTCATGAATAGGAAGACTTAGTATTGTCAAGATGTCAGTTGTTACAGACTTGATCTATAGATTCAACACAATCTATGTGAAAATTCCAGCAAGCTATTTTGTGAATATTGACAAAATTATCCTAAAGTTTATATGGAGAGGCAAAAGACCCAGAATAGTCAACGCAATATTGAGGAAGAACAAGGTTAGAGGATTGACACTAATCTGACTTCAAGACTTACTATAAAGTTACAGTAAACAAGAGAATGTGACTTTTGTGAAAGAATAGACAAACAGATCAATGGAACAAAATAGATGGCCCAGAAATATACCCACAGAAATATAATCAGGTGATTTTTGACAAAGAAGCATAGAGAATACAATGGAAAAAAGATAGCCTTTTCAACAAAGGGTGCCGCAACAACTAGATATCCATATTCAAAAACATGTATCTAGACACAAACATTATGCCTCTCACAATAATTAACTCAAAATACATCATAGACCTAAATGCAAAATACAAAACTATGAAACTCTTAGAAGATAACACAGGATAAAGTCTAGATGACTTTGAGTATGGCAATGACTTTTTAGAAGTAATACCAAAGCCATCCATGTATCCAGCATCAACCATGAAAGACAAAATTAGTAAGCTAAATTTCATTAAAATTAAAAACTTGTGCTTTGAAAAAGACAATGCCAAGGGAATGAAAATACAAGCCATGATGTAATCTATGCAGAAATAGAAGTATAATGATGAACACCTGAAATTTATACAATGTTATAAACCAATGTTACTGCAATAAATAAAAAATAAAAAAAAAGCAAATACAAGCCATGGCTGAGAGAAAATATTTGCAAAATCCTTATGTGATAATGAACTTTTATCCAAAATACACAAAGAACACTTAAAACTCAACAATAAGAAAATCAACAACCTGATTAATAAATGGGCAGGAGAGAAGTCAAGATGGTGGCATTAACAGACTCTGAACTCACCTCCTCCTGCGGACACAGCCAATTTACAACTACTCTTGGATATATTACCCCTGAGACAGAACTCAAAACTGGATAAGAGGAACTCCTGCAACAAACGACAATCCTAATCAAGGTGGAAGAGGCAGAAACTCCCTTCTGGAGAGAAAAAATGCCACCTTCACAAGCCACCAGCTTCACGGTCACACTGGGAGCAGCTCAAAGTGATGCAGCCCTCCCTGGAGGAGTGGGGCCCTGAGCCGGGGAGCACCCCCGCAGTAGGCATTTTGTGGACCCAGCACAATCGAGACGAGTGGCATAATATCTGACTTTGCCTGCTACTAAAACACTGGGGGGGAACTCCCAGAAAAGCTGGTTCACAAAGAAATTAAAACTGGCTCTTAAAGGGCCCACACACAAATTCACTTGTTTCAGAAAGCAACCAAAAATCACCAGAAAGAAAGGTGCACAGTGCTTTGGTGAAAAGAGATTAACCTGATAGGTAGTGAGTGCATCACAGTGAGAGGTGAGACCTCTCCAGGGACTGGGACATTCAAGGCAGCCATTGTTGTGGTCCGGTGTAGGCGTGCTGACACAGACACAATTGGAGTTCTCCTTGGGGCCTGCTAGCCCAAGGTCTGGCCAACCCACCAGAGCACTAATTTAATCAAGCTCAGCCAGGGCAGGCAGCCCACCATAGGTACTGGCCCCACCCAACAACAAGCCCTCAGGCAACTTGTGGGCCTGCATACATTGGTGACTGGATTCTCTGCAGCCTAGCAACTGAGGCCACTTCAGTGGGGCAGGGCAAGCACAAGGAGCAGGTGGAGAGTATGGGGTGGTGGTGGAGTGTGTGGGGTTCCCGACGAGGAGAGACATGGTCCACTTCAGGAGGTTGGGGTGTGCACACTGAGCAGGACTGTGTTGACTGTGTGTGAGAACCCACCGGGCTTGTCAGCTGCAGAAGACTTGTGCTTCTCAAAGACCCACATAGGGGGTTTGTGTCACCTTCCAAAGCCTGAAACAATTGGGTGCTCCCATGCCTGAGGCTAGCCACACACAGCTGCAATCCTCAGTGAGCTGACAAGAGACCTAAAGGCTGGAGGCTTATAGCAATTGTAAGCCCCTGAGCCTAACAACCTGCCATGCTGGGGGCCTACTCACTTAAAAGAAATACTGCAACACAAATGTGGTATTAGAACTTGCGGGCAACTGTGCTGGAGCTCCCCACAACCGATAAGGGGACTGAAGGGCAGAAGGAGAAGAGCGAGACAAAGGGGCAGAGAATCTATTTGAAGAAATAATAGATGAAAACTTCCCTAAAGTAAGGAAGGAAACAGACATCCAGGTACAGGAAGCACAGAGAGCCCCAAACAAGATAAACCCAAAGAGGCCCACACCAAGACACATCTTAATCAAAATGTCCAGAATTAAAGATAAAAAGAGAATCCTAAAAGCTGCAAGAGAAAGACAAGTTACGTACAAAGGAAACCCCATAATGCTATCAGCTGACTTTTCAGCAGAAACCTTACAGGCTAGAAGAGAGTGGCATGATATATTTAAAGTGCTAAAAGGAAAAAACTTAAAGCCAATAATACTCTACCCAGCAAGGTTATCACTCAAAATGGAAGGAGAGATCAAAAGTTTCCCAGGCAAGCAAAAATTAAAGCAGTTTGCCACCAAGAAACCAGTGCTACAAGAAATGTTAAAGGGACTGATTTAAGGGGAAAAGAGAAGACCACAAATAGGAAAAATTATCTATTTCCATGATAAGAGGGTAATGGATACAAATGCACAAAAAATAGGTTATATATGATATCTAAAACATAAA